CTTTTTGTAACCCAATTCTCCGAAATTTGGGCAGAGGGCACCGTCTTCCCCCCCTTGTTGGGGAGGATGGGTTTTGTAGTGCTTGCCCAACACTGCATCGCAACCCCCTTCCAAAAAGATTGGGATAGGGCCTTGGGATTTCATCTAAATAATTCTTTTTTTTTCTCTCTCTCTCTCTCCTTTATTTCCCTTTGCAGTTTTCTAACCGGATTAGGCTGCCCGAACTGCATTGACTATTTTACTTCTCAAGGTTTACAGACCCTTTATCACCTGCAGAATTTGACCTTGGAGGTAAATACACCTGTTTGGAAAGATCTCCTCCTTTGTGAGACCTAACCAGGGGCGGGATTCAACGTCGTTGACTCCTGGGTCTGCGGGCGTGGCTTGGTAGGCGTGGCAGGGGAAGGATATACTGCCAAATCCCCCTTCCCTCCCCACCCCGCTGACCTGCTTTCCAGCTCCCTTCTCCTGGGCAGGACAACCCAAGGCGTCCCAGCCGATCAGCTGGGACTCGATGGGAGGCAGAGAAGAGATGTGGGGTTGGCGGGGGGGGGCAGTCAGGGGTTGGATTGGCCGGTTCTCCGAACGACTCAAGATTTCAGCTACCGGTGGTTCTCCAGAACCGGTCAGAACCGGCTGAGCACCCACCTCTGGACCCAACCCATTTATTTCCTTCCCCCTTCGCTCCATCTGAGGCCTCCATCCCTCCCCATCCGAGGACTGGCCCGTTTTGCAAAAAAAAAAAAACCCACCTAAATTCATATCCGGTGGCAAAGATGGATACAGGCTGCCTTCTCCTGCCCTGCACTCGCTCCCCCGAAAGAGAAAGCAGCTGTCATGGTCAGCGGGCTGGCGATTGTTTGGCAGATTGCTGGGGGGGGGGTGTTTTCTTTTTATTGCAAATATTCCTGAACAGAATATTTGCAGATCTGGGTTGAACCGTGGGGTCCTTGGTGCTCTCGGAGCTTGTGGGTTTTCTTGAAGACGTTTCATGACCAAACTAGAGAACATCGTCAGTGCTAGAAGGGAGTGGGGGTTGTGGATAGGAGGGGGAGGGGGAGAAGGAGAGGAGAAAGGGAAGAGGAAGGAGGAGGAGAGGAGGAAGAAGGTCTGTGGAGTCCTTGGTGCTGTCTGAGGTTAGTGGTTTCTTTGAAGACATTTCATTACCCAACTAAGTAACATCATCAGTGTTAGCAACGAGTGAGGTTTGCAGAGAGAAGAAGAAGGAAAAGGAGAAGGAGGAGGATTATGGGTCTCTTGGTGTTCTCTGAACTTGGTGGTTTTCTTGAAGACATTTCATTGCCCAACTAAGCAACGTCCTCAGTACGTCATCAGTCATGACGCGACCTGGTTGGGTCTCGAAACGCTGGCAAGAAAACCACCCAGAGTTGATCCGTGCCTTCCGTCTCTCGGTAGGATCTTGCGGCTCTGAAGATCCCAGAGCAGTACCGCATGATCATCTGGAGGGGCCTCCAGGATTTGAAGCAGAGCCACGATTACGGTGGCCAGCCGCTCCTCCGTTCCAGCAGTAGCAACGCCGCCACCATCTCCATCGGGACTTCCGGAGAGCTGCAACGGCAGCGCGTGATGGAAGCCGTGCATTTCCGCGTTCGCCACACCATCACCATCCCAAACCGGAGCGGGTCCGATGAATGGGCAGACTTTGGCTTCGACCTGCCAGATTGCAAATCCCGCAAACAGTCCATCAAGGAGGAATTCCTCGAGGGGGAAATCAATTGAAAGGATCTCAGGTTGTGGGACGGGGGCGGAGGGAGGGAGGGATCTGGGGCAAGCCAGCTGGGCCTGCGGACCCCGTAGATTTTGCCGCCAGACTGAAGCCGCCCCCTCCAAAACAAAAGAAAAAGTATTTCGGAGAGGTTGTGGCGATGGGACCTCCGCGCCGTCCAACTTTGGTACGTTTGTCGACATTGCCGTGGGCCAAAGGGCAACCGCCACCAGAAGGAAAGAGACGGCGTTACATCAGCAGACTCGAGAAATCAACAAAAAACGTGCATTTCAACTTTCGTACGTTTGGTCCGACGTTGTTCGCACACAAAAAAATGCAAACCAACCAGAACGGAAGAGACGCGTCCGATCAGCAGAATCGGGGAAATCGATGAACATTTGAATTTCCTGAACAATCTGGGGGTCGATTTGGCGTCCGCAAGGAGAGAGAGGATGGGCTGGTTTCGTTCCTGAACAATCCTCATTTTTTCCTCCAACGACGGCCGTCCTTTCTTCTGAAAAATGGCTTCGTTGCTTCTCAATTCCACCCCTCTCGTTTGGTTGAAAAGAAATCTAGAAACGAGGGGTCCCACCAAGCCCCCCCCCAATCCCTTCCCTTAACGGACTGCCAAAAAGTGTTTGTTTTTCTACAGTGCTACGTAGACTGAAAACAACAGCAAAAGAAAAAAAAATGTTTATAACTCGGTCAACAAACCGAAGTGACGTTTGTATTAGTTAGGTTCATCCTTTGCTCCGTTGGAGCAGACATACGCTGTACATAACTGTATTTAACCACTGTTGTAAGGTTTATGTAAGCTATTTTAAGATGGGTGTGGTTTTGTCCACCACCAAGGTTTGACCATTTGGGGCGTCTATTCCGGGGAATCTCCTAACTTGGCAACTTTCAGATTTGTGGACTTCAACGCCCAGAATTCCCCAGTCAGCAGCAAATGGGGCAATTCTGGGACTTGAAGTCTTATAAAACTTGGCAACTTGTGAACTTCAACTCCCAGAATTCCCCAGCCACCATCAAATAGCAGGCTAAGGAATTCTGGGAGTTGAAGTCCACAAAACGTGGCAACTTAAGGCTTTCTGGGAGTTGAAGTCCACAAAACTTGGCAACTTGTGGACTTCAATTCCCAGAACTCCCTAGCCAGCAGCAAATGGCTGGCTGGGGGATTCTGGGAGTTGAAGTCCACAAGTCTTAAAGTTGCTAAGTTTGGAGAGAAAGACTTATTTGTACAGTCAAAGGGATAAAAATTTCATGGATGAATTCGGCTTGGGGAATCCGCTCCTAAACTGACCGTCCAATCTCCATAAGGAACAGACATTTTAAAATTATATGTGCTTTGCCATGAACTCCAAAGTCACATTTCCTATGTTGCAGAAGTAATTTATGCTCGTGTGACAGGGTTGCGATTCAGAAAATGGGTGTCATTTACGGATGCAAAGTTTTCCCGCTTAGTCACAATCTGCTGCCTAGGAGATTCGTTTCATTCTGCTTAATGATAAAATTAGGAGAAATATTCAGGGGTCATTGGGGGTTGGGGGTCACCAACAGCCCCCCCAAGATAAGCAATCTATACAGAACACCTACATGACAACTTAACATACGTACATTTTTCAATCTCCGTCCCAAACATGCAGCAAATTCCTGGGGAATTTTAAGGTGGGGGGAGAAATAGCTAAGATTAAAAAGAAGAAGAAAATAATTGGCTTTCCTGCCTAAAATCTTTTAGCGTAAGAAAGTGTAAAAGAAAAAAAAGCCCTCACACTTGCTAGTCCCAAGAGTAAATTCAACGGATCGTAAATATTTTAGAGAAGGTTGTGTTCATTTTTGAAGACTGTCCTCTGATCCCAACCACAGTTCTCACAGCTTTCAAGTGGAAGCTTTGAGGTCCCAATTTTAACAGCGCTCCAAATTTTTTGTTTTTTTTTTGCAGGAGGGAAAGAAAAAAAAAAATCAAGATTTTTCCAGCCAAATCCAGGATTGAGTTGACTATTCAAAAGCATTCCTTTTAATATTTTTTTTAATGCAACACACCTCTCTCAGCCAAACAAGAGATTCACAGGGCTTGGTTTATTTGCTCGCACAAGTGGTGTTACGCTGTGTTGCTGCTGCTGCTGCTGTGTGTGTGTGTGTGTGTGTGTGTGTGTGTGTGTGTACTGAAACAGCTGGCTGTTTCGCAAGCAAACACATTTCCAGGTCATTTCAAATTCCCCATTTCTCTTAGCAGGATGAGGGGTAAAAAACTTCCTCCTTGTCTAACTAATTCCCCGAGCCAACTGAGAGAGGTATCCTCAAACTGTGCTTTGTGAGCCCAGATCCCGAGATCGAATCACGCCGGCCAAGTGGAAATCCAGTTGAAGCACTTTACTTTTTTTAAAAAAAAAAAGGAAGGAAAAAATATATATATAACTTTTCCATCTCTTATAGGAGTAAGATAAATGCCTTTTCTGACCCTCCTTTTCCCTGGCAGCAGTATTAACTATCGAAGATTTCTAGGTAAGCCAAGATTGGCAGCAAAAAATAAAATAAAATAAAAAATAGTCCAGGAAGAAGCCATGAAGCTATTATCACTGGCTTGTTTGCTTGAAGGGGAACGATGGTTGATTCTGGGGTTTTGTGTTTTTTTTTTTAATTTGCTTGAGGAGGCAAAATAGGGGAAGAGATGGAGAACGATCTTGTCATCTCAAAGTCTTTGCTTCAGTGATAGGGCAGTGATAGATTAAAAAAAAATTGATTTATTATCCCCACAATTTAAATCTCCACAACTTAAAACCTGGAAATAAGGAGAACATTTCCTGACGGTGGGAGCGATCAAACCATGGAATAGAAGTTGCCTTCGGAAGTTGTGGGAGATTCATCATTGGAGGCTTTCAAGAAGAGGCTGGACTCCCATCTGTTAGGAATAGTGTAGGGTCTCCCGCTTAGCAGGGGGTTGGACTAGATGACCTACAAGGTCCCTTCCAACTCTGTTAATCTGTATCTCTTAAACTGTGGCCTTAAGTGACCATAAAGGGCCAAGCAGAAGCTTCTGGGATACTGGACATATCTAAACAATCCACACGTGTGCCAGATGGATATTTTCTCCCATGCGGGCCTGAGGGGAAAAAAAAGCGACTTATGGCCGTTTTTCACACTTACGACGGTTGTAGCATCCCCGTGGTTCACGCGATCCGAACTCCGGCGCTTGGCAATTGACTCGTGTTTATGACGGTTGCAGGTCCCCGAGGTTTACGTAATCCTCTTTTTGCGACCTTCCGTGGGGAACCAGATTCACTTAGCAACCACAGCAGAATAGGAAAAAATCAGGCGAAAGTCGTTTAACAACCCCTCTCACTTAGTGGCAGAGAGGTCGGCCTCCATTGTGGTCGTACCCCGAGGACTACTACCTGTACCACAAATAATGCAGCGAAGAGTTTAAAGGTTGTTTAGAATTCGTGGCTTTTGGGGAGTCCGGCTCAGGACACACAGCAAATATATCCGCCTCTTTCTGAGGTGATCATTCAGACAGCGATCGTGGCTTCAGTTTTGGGGGAATCTGACTGGGAGCCCAAGAAACAGACAGAAATGGACTTTCCTCCCCCCTTGAATGGTTAAATATGTTTGCTTTGTTGTAATGATCTTTTTGAGGAACCAAAATAATAATAATAATTCTTATTTTTGTAAGGTGTTTTTTTTCTCTTCCTTTTGGTAATACAATAAATGTATTTCAAATGTTGTTTTCCCTTCTACAGGGAGGGGAAAAAGAATCACTTTTGTAGAAATGCATATTTTTTTTCCCACATTCCTAAGTAAATATTTCTGTCGGTAGCCAAAATATTAACCCTGCTTAAAACTAATTATTCTAAGTGTCTTAAAGCAGTATTTCTCCACCTTAGCAACTTTTAAAATGGGTCGACTTCCAGAATTCCCCAGCCATTATGTCTCGACTTCAATTCCCAGAATTCCCCAGCCATTATATCTGGACAATTCCCAGAATTCCCTAGCAAGTATATCTGGACTTCAACTCCCAGAATTCCCTAACCAGTTGAACTCCATACATCTTAAAGCAACTAAAGTTGAGAAAGAAACACCGTTTTCAACCACAGCCCAGAATGACCACTGGGAACAGCCCAGAGAATTCAAGGGGAGGTAAGCTGATCCAGAAAGAAATCTATTAGAAACATTTATTTTATTTTTAACTTTAAACCTACCAGGCCTAAGGAGCGTTCTGAGCAATTACTTCATCCAGACAATTTTTTTTTTTTAAAAAAAGGGGGTATCAAAATTCCAAGCACATCCTGAGGAGCTAGCTTTCTCCATGCAGGAGAATTTAATGACATCTCCCTTGGAAAAAGATTCAAACTCGAAAACCAACGCAGAATAAAAGTAAAAAAAACAAACCACCACTCACCAAAAAGGAAGGAGACGTTGGTCCAATGGCCATCACATTTTAATCACAGTCTTCATCAAATTTTGCTGTTCAGAGGTGGGGGTGGGGTGGTCAAGTGGTACCCAAAGACCTTCATCATCCTCTGCTCAGCCTCTGATTGATGACCCAACAACTACAGTTCCCATCCTGCTGGAAAAACCTCCCCTTAGTTCCAAAGCTTGGTTAACTGAACATTAACAAAAATCCAATGGCAACCCCTCCTGCCGGGAGCCGATGATTAACGAATGAACGAAAGACAAATTAAAAAGAAGGGACTTCCAAAACGATTCCTCGCACCCGGGCCTGTTGCAAAGCCTCTCCTTTGTTTGGATGCCTTGAGAATCTTCCCAGGTAACCCTCCAAGACCAGGTGGGATTCCTTGCAAGGCTTCAGACAATATTTGGGTTTTCGGGATGGATCGGCAAATACTCACTTTTGGGGTTCTGATATTTTTATTGACTCAGTTTCCTAGGTACGACGGATCCAGAAGGCTTGGCTAGGAATCTGCAGAGGGCCTCCTGCAAGCAAAATTATATTATTATTATTATTATTATTATTATTATTATTATTATCGTCATCATTATTATTATTAATACCTAAGATGCTGGCAGCAACCCGTATCAACCATCAGAGACAGTTTGTGATACATTTTTAAATGTTCAGTG